AGGTGGGGACAGGGTGATCTTCAGTCTCATTCCCATGGGAAATCAGGTTAACCAGCAGGGAAAGCCACAGGAGGGGGGAGAGGGAAGTTTGAATTTATTCTTGCCTGTGGGAGGGATAACACAGGGCTCTGCTATCCCAGGCTGGCTTACTCTGGCTGTAAGGACTCTCTAAATCCAAGTCCTGAAGGCCCCAGCTGGCTGGATGTGGCTGGATTGAAGTGGGAATTATGAAGTGCCTGTGGCTGTCAGGTCTCAGAGGGATGATCTGCTGCATCCCTTTGCAACTGGGCATGAAAATCCCTTGGATCTTACCTTGGATGCAGAGGCCTAAAGGAGAGAGGCAGAACCCTGGATGCACAAATCCTTCTGTTGGGGTTTGGTCCTCCTTGGCCCCCAACAGAGCAGGACCTTTGCAAGAGGAGAATCTGTTACAGGCCATGTAAACTTCCCTCTGGAAATTGTGTTTTGTTTCATTTTACAGGGCTCAATGTTCTTGAGTTATGAACTGCAGGTGGGGGAGAATTGAAAAGGTGCATTGGGTAGAGCTCTTCCAGTATTCAAACCTGAGAAAGGTGTAAGTTGGCAGGAACACTCCAGCATTCTGGAACTGCTTGTTCTGGAAATGCATTGGCACAGGGTGCCCAGAGAAGCTGTGGCTGCCCCTGGATCCCTGGAAGTGTCCAAGGCCAGGCTGGATGGGGCTTGGAGCCACCTGAGATGGTAGAAGGTTGTCCAAGGCAGAGGGCTGGAACTGGATGATTTTTAAGATCCCTCCAATCCAAACCACCCTGTGATTCCAAGATTCTGTAATCCTTGTTTTTCTTGCCTATGTCCTGCTGCTCACAGCTGCACAAAGTGCCTGCCCAACAGGGAGTTTCCTTCTTTGACACCTCCTCTTGTCCCCAGGATTGACCATTCTGTGTTTCTGGAAAGCTCCATGGCACCATCAGGCAGCCAGATCACCATGGCAGCTCAGCATTACTGAGGGGCTGCTTTGAGCTGCAATGAGCCCTGCAGAGGAAAAGAAAACCAGTTAATTTTAAAAATATTTGTCCCCATTCCCTGGGAGAAGTTTGTCCTTCCCTTTGACTGTTTCCTCACCTTTGAGGTGGTGCCATGGAAGGTCCTCCCTGGCAGGGGGTTCTCCAGTTATGACAACTTGATTGGAGAATAGAAACTAGTTTGCTGTGTGTGTAGCCAGGGGCATGGCTGGGTTGGATAATTGGATTTGGGAGGCCAGTGTTTGTACAATTGTGACACCTCTTGCTGGGAAGCCAATTTCTGCAGTGATGCAGCTGATACAACATCGGGACAATCTGTTCCAGCCTTTGTTCCAAGGATGTCAGACTGGTGGATAAAGTAACCACAGTGAGAGACTTCCCTCAACAGCATGTCTGCTTCCAGCCCAGGGAAACAAAATCCAGACCTTGTTCTGTGTCTCAGATGGTCCAGGGAACAGCTGACAGAAGTGAAACTCTGCAAAGTCTTGAGCAGCTTACACGGATTTACTGTGTGTTCTTTTCTTGAGAACCTCTGCAACACCTAAGGACTGTTTCACTTCAGCCTGGAGCCCTTTGTTTCTCATTTCTGTTCTTACTAAATTAAAAAATGAGAAGTTATCAGGAGGGTTTTGCCCAGTTGATTTTGTTTGTTGTTCATACATCCCTTGCAGGTACATTTTATGCCTCTTCAGTCTATGCTTAACTATCTCAAGTAATCCAAATCTTCTTTGCTTTTCTTTAAAAAAATTTCCCCAGTACTCTGTGGATGCTCAGTTTTTGGATCCTAGCTGGTGATTCTGTCAAATTCCGAATTTCAGAGCCTGCTCTGCCCTCAGACAGGGAAATGCCAGCTTTCATCCAGCCTTACACACTTTGGGTGAAATTCAGTCCTTCTGCAAGTCTGGTTTAGCCAGGAAGCTTCGAGCCTTGAGCTTCCCAGCAGCTCTGAGGACCTTGGCATGGCTGCAGCTGCACCAGGTCTGAGCTAAAAGCACAGTGGTAATGGAGTGTGGTAGCAGTGACTGCTGAGCACAGCACGTGTGCAGGGGGTGCTGCCTCCTCTCTGTCTGATGGCCTCAAGGAATAAATAAGGAATATGTTGTTTATTATTTTATCTGCACACAGGAACAAGATTCCCAGTCCCAGCTCCCTGGGTTTGGTTGATGTCCTCAGTCCAGCACTTCTGGTTTCTGCTGTGGCTTTTGTGCTTTCTGTTCTCACTTTTTCCCTTCACTGTCCCATGTCCTGCCTTGCTTCCCCTGCTCTTCCTTGAGGCACTGCAAGGCTCTCTATTCCCACTCCCTCCCTGGGAGAGCCCTGACAGGGGCTGGGGCTGTACAGAGCTCGTTGCCTTCAGTCACCTTGGGTGTGCTGGGCTGTTCTCAGAATCCCAGAGTGCTTCTGGTTGGAAGGGACAGTCAAAGTATCCGGTCCCACCCCTTGCCATGGGCAGGGACTCCTTCCACTAGCAGAGATGTTCAGCCTGGAGAAGGAAAGGAAGACCTCAGAGCCCCTTCCAGGGCCTAAAGGGGCTCAGGAAGAGCTGGAGAGGGACTGGGGACAAGGGATGGAGGGACTCTGTTCTGGTGTGTGAGAGCAGAAATGGGCTCCACTGATGAGTTTGATGCTCCATAAAGTGCTGGGTGCTCAAGCAACTGCCCAGGCTCTGCAAGAGCTCCATGAGTTGTGTCTGTAGGGAATGGGAGATATTCCCCACAGGGACAGTGAGGCTGAAGAAGAGCAAGAAGAGAGAACTCTGAGAGAGGTTGAAAGAAGAGACTTCTCTGCTTTTGAAGTGTTTGGGACCCAAAATCTCTGTGTTTCTCTTTAAACTTGGGATGCCTATAGAGGAGCAGCCCCTCACAGCTCTGCACTGGTTTGCTGCATGAGCTTTTCTTGGCTGCATGGCAGGATTGTCAGTGAAGCTGTCAGGAGAACCTCTGACATCAGCAACTGTCGTGTTGAAAACTGCCTTGGGTAATTAATTAATCCTTCTGTAAATAGAAGGCTTGATGTTCACCAGCAGTGCTGTGGGATCTTTCTCAGAGGGAAATAAAGTCTGTGACAGGACCATGGTGAGCAGGGAGGCTCTTGGCAGGTGCAGGAGGCTTGTTATCCTTCCAGTTAAATTCTGCAAGGAAAAAAAATAGTCTTCTGCTTTGTGGATTGTGTTGGAGGATGAGTCCAGGTGGGGAGGGATCCCTGAGGAAGGTGCCCATTCCTCTGGCTACAGGATGGAAGCAGCACCTGCCTCCTTCCTCTTGCCTGGGGCTTCTCCTTGGGAGCTGGTGCTGGGCACTGTCACTGTCACATCAGCACTGGAACCAGCACCACTTCCCAGAGTGTCCCCTGGCAGGGGGTGCCAGGAGAAGACCAGGAGCTGCTGTGTGTTCTGTTTGTGGTGCTCTCCAGGCATAAACACAACTCACAGTGACACTGGAGAAGCTGGGCCCCATCCCAGAAGTTTGGGGGATATTCTTTGGTTTGCATATTTGGTTGTTTTTCCACACATGACCAGAATAGCTATTCTCAGGCTATTTTCAGAGCAATCTTTTTTTTAATCAGAGTTAAAACTCTTTCTCAGTAATTGTTATCAATTAGCACAAAATCATGGAATGGTTTGGGTTGGAAGGGACTTTAAAGCCCATCCAGAACCACCCCTGCCATGGGCAGGGACACCTTTCACTGTCCCAGGCTGCTTCTTGGACACTGCCAGGGATCCAGGGGCAGCCACAGCTGCTCTGGGCACCCTGTGCCAGCCCTGCCCACCCTCTCAGGGAACAATTCCTGCCCAATATCCCATCCAGCCCTGCCCTGGGCAGTGGGAGCCATTCCCTGTGTCCTGTCCCTCCATCCCTTGTCCCCAGTCCCTCTCCAGCTCTCCTGGAACCCCTTTAGGCCTTGCAAGGGGCTCTGAGCTCTCCCTGGAGCTTCTTCTCTCCAGGTGAGCACCCCCAGCTTTCCCATTCTGGCTCCAAAGCAGAGGGGAGGCAGAGCAGCCATTTGATCATTTCTGTGGCCTCCTCTGGTTTTGCTCCAAGAGGTCCATGCCTTTCTCACGTGGGGATGTCAATTATAAACACGGTGTTTTCAGTCATACTCTACTTGAATTTGATTGGCACTGGGAAGTCCCTTCCCTTGAAATAAAATTATAAATCTGTGTAGTACAGGAAGAGTCTGGAAAGAAAACAATTCTCTTGCTGTCCCTACGTCTTAGTTTGAAAGACAGGTGTCTGCCAAGAAAGGCAGGAGCCTCTCTTGAAATGGAAAATGTAAACCCTCTCCTTCCAAATTATTATAATTTTTTAATTAAGAGGCTCTCAGGCAAAGATATGGGAATAGGAATAACAGTTCTTTACTAGGGAAATTAAAATAGAAATACAGTATTACAGAGAACAAACCCAAAAACACTGACAGTCAGAATCCAAGCTGACCCCTGTCAGTCAGTCAGGGTTGGTGCAGTCCCATTCCATGGTGGCTGCATCCTCCTGCAGTGACAGATGTGGTTCTGCTGGAGCAGGGCTCCTGGAGAACGGTGAGGTTTTCCTCCAAAGGCCCGGTGGTTTTGTGGAAGGCTCTGGTTTTCCTCTGGGATCCAGTGGGAAAAGGCTGCTCTGCTGTTCCAAATCTCACCTTTGATCTGGGTAGGAAAGGCTTGGCTCCTCCCCCTGGGTGGAGCATCTCCCAATGGGATGATGGAATTTAATCAGCCATGCACTGGTACTCAATGGGATGATGGAATTTTATCAGCCATGCCCTGGGACTCCATGGCCCATGAACAGGAGATATCTCCTGGAGGAAGGATGGGTTGTGGAAAGATAAAGAACACTGCCCCTCTGGATTTTAACACCTGGCTCATTAGCAGAGGATATCTCCCAATAGATAAGGATCACTGCCCCAGCTGCTTTAACACATGGTGCTAGAATCCAGACTTTCGGTCACATCCTGCATGACAACCCAAGACACCCTGCTGACCCCTGCTGTGTGTCCCTGGCACAGGTGTGGAGGGGCACCCTGGCCCGGCTGCGCTACCGGCGGACGCGGGCGGCTCTGACCATCGTGCGGCACTACCGGCGCCACAAGGTGCGCGCGTACCTGCGCGAGGTCGTGCGGCGCTTCCGCGACGTGCGGCTGCTGCCCGACCGCGGCCGCAGCATCCCCTGGCCCGCCCCGCCCAAGGTGCTGCACCGCTTCGAGGAGGCTCTGCAGGACATCTACCACAGGTACGGCCCCTGCCCACAGCACAGCACACACACTGCCTGTCCCAGCGACGTCTGGCTGAGGGACAGGGTCTGGGTGTCGCTGCCTTTGTGCCCTTGAATAATTCTGATAATTCTAATCCAAGGATTTATGGTTGAATCACAGAATCCCAGAATGGTTTGGATCTTAAAGCCCATCCAGTTCCACCCCATGCCATGGGCACGGGTACTTGCCGCTGGTACCAGACCAGGTTGTTCCATTGTGATAAACATTGTGTTTCCTTCTTTGGCCCCTTCCTGGCCTTTCTGGTTGGTTTTGAAAAGAAAGAGCAGCTGCTCTTGGATAAGGGGGAAAAGAATCTTCTCAATTTCCTCAAGACTTCTCGTAGCAAGCCAGTGTTTTTCTGCAGTAAAATGAGCGATGTTCCCCTTGTCACCCATGTTCTGTGTGCAGAACAGGTGTTTGTACCTTCATTAAACCTCCCACAATCTAAAGGCTGGTGATTTTTTTCTCTGGGAAGCTGAGGCAAAGTAGTTACAATTCCAGTTTGAGAGGTGATGACTTCTGAAAGTGGCTGAACAAGAGAAATGTTAGCTGGAGGGGTTTTCAGAAACCTCCTGTCCAGCCATCAGCTTGAAGGGCAGTTCCAGCAGCTCTAGATCAAGTCAGCTTTGTTATTTTTTCCAGCTGTCTCTTTCAGGAGAGACATCCATCCACCCCCAGCCTGTCTGGGGAGAAAGTCCTGCTTTCAGAATTAGCTCAGTTACCAGAACTACAGAATTTTAGCTGCTAAAAAACCTTTTTATAGTATTACTCCTGGAGCTCTGGTGCTGCTGCTGCAGGCCGGGGTGGGGTGTGGAGCAATGGATGGGCTGCCCTGCCCTGTTCCGTGGTGCAGTTGGAACTGAGGGGCCAAATTCAGCTGTTAGAGGAGAATGGTGCTGTAAATGAGCCCAAAAATGAGCTTGCAAACCCTTTATTGTAAACAGATGCACCAGTGGTTGACTCGTGGGTGTGGGATAGGGAGTGTGACACCCTGACTTGTCAGGGTTGGAGGTGACACATGACTTTAAAACATCAATTGGCCTTTGCAGCTTTGGGAATGCCCAGGCAGGACTCTGAGGGTGTCCTTGTGGTGCTGCTCTGGCAGCAGGAGCCCTTCCTGGGTGAGGTCCAGGCTGTGGGGCTGAGCCAGCCTTGCTTTGGTGCAGGTGGAGAGCGGCCGAGCTGATCCGGAGCGTGCCCCCAGAAGTTCTGCCTCAGCTGAGGGCCAAGGTCGCTGCCATGGAGCTGCTGAAGGGCCACAGGGCTGACATTGGCCTCCAGAGAGCCTGGCTGGGCAACTACATTGCACTGGTGAGTGAGGGGGCCTGGGCTCAGGGTGCTGAAAGGGGGAAATTGGGCAAAATGAGCATTGGTTTCTTGGGAGGAGAAGTACTTGGAAATTTCCTCTGTTTATGTAGTTCAAAACCTTGACTTCCACTGCACTAGGAGTGCTTTTTATGAATCCTGAGCAGCACCAGCAGCATTAAAGCAGTGCTATCAGCTGGCTCTGCAAAAGGGCAGAGCCAGACTTCACTGGGAGACTAAAATGCTGGATAGAACGGAAACAGCAGAGGCTGAACAGAACAAAGAAATTCTCTCTAGGCAGGTTTGATCGCTTCCCTTTACTCCATCTTTCCTTGGAGCATTTTGGTGTGTCAAGGTTTGGTTTCCCAAAGCACAGAAGGGGGAAGGGAGCCATGTCCCAGCCGTGCCACTGCCAGCTGCTCTTCCTTCAGCCCAAGGAGAGTCCTGAGCCTGTGTCTGCTCTTGCAGAAACCAGACAGCCCCCAGAGCTCGGGCTCCTTCACCCCTGTTGCCAACGAGCTCAAGCGCAAGGACAAGTACATGAAGATCCTTTTCTCCTGCCACGTGCGCAAGGTAACGGGGCTGGGGGGCCTTGGGGTCCAGAGCAGCCAGGAGTGACCCTGGGGCTGCTTGGACAGCAGCTCAGAGCAGTTCCAAGGAGCTGCAGCAGGGATTTTTGGGTGGAGCAAGGTTGGGTGGCTGCTGGGGCCTCATCGTGTCAGAAGCACAAATAAATTGTGGAGTCTCTGCCCATGCAGAGCGTTGGAACTGAATGGTCTTTAAGAGCCCTTCAACCCAAACCTTGCCATAGATTCATGATAAAATCACTTCATTCTGCACAACTGGTTTGGGTCTGACATTTTTTGTAGCAGCATTGGGATTTTTGTTAATTTGGTTGGAAAGTTTAAACAACTAATTTAAAAAGCATACTTGCTTAATTGTTGTGAATAGCTCTTAATGATGCTGGTTTGAAATATCTGCCAGGGATGGATATTTTAGATTTTACAAAGCCAGTAGACAAACCAAATTTTAGTGGCAGGCCAGTGCTGTGGATGTTCAGGTGTTTTTAAGAAGCTGTATGTTCTTTTTATTTGTTAATATTGCAGTTGGTCCCCACATGCACTTATGATTCTGCAGATCTACACAATTCATTCTGCAGCACAAAATCTCACTTTATAATAAAACTTTGCAAGTGGTAGTGAGTTATATTGTTTATTCAACAGTGATTCATGTTTATAAAAATAGAAATCTCTAATTGCTTTCCAAGCAAAAATATTTCAGTGGAGTTTGGTGTTGCTGTGACCACATTCTCTGTGAGGACAGGGTTCACAGGATTAAAGGAGGAGCAGGCAAGTCTGAATCCAAACTTCCTCTTTACAACCTCACAGCACTCTAGGCTGAACCTCCCTGAGGGACAGAGAAATGCAGAATTCCCTCTGGCTTTTTTCAGGTTAGGCTGAAAACAAAATAATTCTCTTCTAACTCATTTAATGAACTGATTCCACTTGCAGTTTCTGACTAAACTGGAATAACTGTAGAAAGGACAATATTCAGTTGTTAGAGATGTGCTGATGGGAATTGTGGGTTTGGATGGGAATGGAATGATGGTGAGGGGAATCTCTGGGGGTCTGTGTGTGATGGACACGGTGTGGGAGTTTTATCTTATTTACTGTTATGCAGCTCTCCAGCCTTTAAGTCCTTGTGTTTCTCTTGCTCCTGGTTCAGCTCTCAAGGACAATCTCCCGTGCAAGCACAGGGCAAAGCAGATTCCTGAAGCACAGATCCACACTTTATCCTGTTCTCTGACTGCCAGGACAGAGCTCCTGCCTTCAGACAAGTGTCAGAGGAGAATTTGTTGGTTTTGGTGTATGGAGGAATCTCCAAAAATCCAGTTTTTGTGGGGTTTGCATTGAGATGCCATCACTTCAACAGTAGCAGCAGAATGGGGATGGAATAGGTGTTACCCACCATAAAGTGGATTTCTCCTGAGCCTGAAAGGCTTTCAGTGCTCTCAGAGGCAAAGCTTTACCTGACTGTGGGTGCATTAAAAGGGCAGCTCAGCTGAAATCACAAATATTGCAGGGTTATAGACTTGCAGCCTTGTGGGTTTTAAATTGTCTTGTAACTTCTTTTCACTTTTGTCAGGTTAAATTGTGGCTGCTTTCTTCTCACAGAGAGGTAGGACTCGGTTCCCTGCTCTGTTAGGGATTCCTGGCATGGCTTTGGAGCCATCAGCAAGGCAGCCCCATCCCTGGAAGTGTCCAAGGCCAGGCTGGGCAGGGCTGGAGCAGCCTGGGACAGTGGAAGGTGTCCCTGCCCATGGCAGAGGTGACACTGGGTGGTCTCTAAGGTCCCTCCAAACACAAAGCACTCCATGACTCCATGGTCTCAGCACTGCTGAGGATGAGACTGTAGCACTGTGCCATCCTCAAGGGTGTGTGAGCCTGGTGACTCCAGAGCATCTCAATGTCACAAATGCAAACCATCCCATCCAAACCCACTCTGGGATGTTGCCCCTCCCTTAGGGAACCGTTTGTCTTCCTGCTTGTATGGACAGGAAATGTTCGAGTGAGCCTGATGTGAACAGAGCAGGGAACACAAATAATGCTGAAATTTGAAGGTTAACAGGACAAGGATTTGACATTTGAGAATTTAGCATTTCCCTTTCCAAGCAAAGCACTTCCTCAGGTCATCTGTTTTGGTTTAAACACTGGATCTGCAGACTAAGCACGACTGAGAGCTGTTGGACAGGAGTGACTCTGCTCCAGCTGCAGGAGCACGAGCTGGGAACAGCCTCAGCCTCCCTTTGCCCTTCACAGGAAACAATTGCCATGCTAAGCTGTTTAAAATGAAGGTGTTTCTCTTGTCAGAAATACAAGTTTTGGCATCCTGCCTCTTATCCCAGAGTAAGGGCAGTCCCTGGGTGACCCTCAGTGCTGGGGCAGGGGGAATCTCTCCTCATTGCTGCATTCTTCCCTCTGAATTTTGAACAAATAAATCATCAGGTTTCTTGACTTTAGCCTTGACTTCCCCATGTCCTACCAAACCCTATTGGCCTAGGGTAGCATTGGTGCTGGCACGTGCAGCCTGGCCCTGTGCTCAGGGCAGATTTGTCACATCTCTCATGTTAAACCTGGTTCCTTGTGGGTTTGCAGGTTGTGTTTGTTCTCTGCTGAAAATTGGGTCACGTGAAGCTTTAACAGGGGCCTGAAGAGTGAATTATAGAAATGTAATTATCAGGTGGTTTCATTGCTTCCCTTAAATAATTCTCCTGAACAAAGCAGCAATTCACACAAAAAGGCTGCTCAAGTTCATCCGTGATGTTTTCATGATTCAGCTTATTTGAAGATTCCTGAGCAAACACTGTGCTGCTCCTGCTCTTCCCCCAGGCAGGAAGGTGTTAGTGGGAAGGTGTTAAAGGGCCCTTTGGTGAGCTGGGCCGAGAATGTTTTATTTCTGAAGCAGCATCAGCCTTCCTTTGTGGCTTCCTTCAGCTACTGAGTCACCAAACCACTGTGAAGCTGTTGTTGCCTGTCTACAGCAATGTCAGGTGGCAGCTGATGACTGACACTGATCTAGTGAATTCTTCAGGAAGAACCTAGAAGATTCTAGATCAGGAAGAACTTCTTCATGGAAAGGGTGGTCAGGCATTAGAAGGGGCTGCACAGGGAGGTGTGGAGTCCCCATCCCTGCAGGTGCCCAAGGAACACCTGGACGTGGCACTCAATGCTCTGTGCTGGGGACAAGGTGGGCATCGGGCACAGGTTGGACTCAGTGGGCTGAGAGGGCTTTTTCAACCTCAATAATTTTATGTTTCTAAGAAGTAAATTTATTCCAAGAACTGCCCTCCAAGTTTTGAGCTGCTGGTAAAGTTTTCTTTGCCTGTATGGGGGCCCAATTTCAGCAGCTTGAGCTGAATAATAATGGGGGGCTCTGCTTGGAGCAGTTTTTACAGAAGGGCTGTGAAGAGGCTTTGAAGCCTTGCTGGGGGAGGGGAATGGACTGTGTGGTTGCTTCCCTGCAGGTACAGGTCATTCCTACCTATGGGAAAAATCCATCTTTTCTGAGCATTGTGGTGCTTTTCACTTTTTCAAAGGAAATTTTCAAGATTTTTGCCTTAGGAGAAACCAAATGCATATTTCATGCAAACCTCCAGATTTTGTTGGATCACCTAGGAAACAACTCTGTCTCTTTATTTTTTTTTAGAATGAGGCTTTTCTTCCCGCTTTTCCCTTGTCACTTGTGGCACCAGGCTCCCTTGAGAGGATCATCCTTTCCAAAGGCCCTGAAGTGTCCAGAGGCCACTGACAGAGACCTGAAAAAAATCTTCCTTGAAGATTTTTCAGCTCTAGGCCAGACCTTCATTTCTCCCACAGGCTTGTCAGAAAGCTAAATTAGGACTGATTCGCATTTGGATCAACAAGATATAAATACAGAATGCCCAGAAGGTGCAGAGAACACAATGCTGGGAAGGGCTGTTCTCCAGGAGGGAATGAGCTGAGCTGAGAACAGAAGGCCTGTCCTTACTCCTACAAGCCCAGCAGTGATATTTGCACTGGTGTGTGAGTCCCTTCTGTGCCTGCTCCCCAGTGGGACTGGTTTTACTTTTACCTACTGCAGGTATTATTTAATAAATGCACTGTAGGTGCACGAGGCACCTGAAGCCTCTTTTGTTTGAAAAGAGCTGGAAGGACGTGAGAATTTGCTCCTCAGGTGAGATGAGCTGCTGGGCCTCTCCTCTGGTACATTTCTTTAGCTGAATTTTAATACTAAAACCGGGGGGAGTCATGAGAAAGAAGTGGAATTCCATTGGCTTGGAATCACCTTTGAGGTGCTGGTCAGCATTGCCTGCAGGTGAGTCCAGGTGTGCCAGAGGCCATGGACACCTGACTTGGATCATCAATAGTGTGGCAGCAGGACCAGGGCAGTGACTGTCCCCTGAGCTGGCACTGCTGGGGCACCTCAAGTGCTGTGTCCAGTTCTGGGCACCTCATGATAAGAAGGACACTGAGGGGCTGGAGGTGCCCAGAGAAGGGAACGGAGCTGGGAAGGGGCTGGAGCCCCAGGAGGGGCTGAGGAAGCTGGGAAGGGGCTCAGCCTGGAGAAAAGGAGGCTCAGGGGGGCCCTTGTGGCTCTGCACAACTCCCTGACAGGAGGGGACAGCCGGGGGGTCGGGCTGTGCTCCAGGGAACAGGGACAGGAGGAGAGGGAACGGCCTCAGGCTGGGCCTGGGGAGGCTTAGATTGGATATTAGGGAAAATTTCTTCACAGAAAGAGTGGTCAGGCATTGGCCCAGCTGCTCAGGGCACTGGTGAGGTCCCCATCCCTGGAGGGCTTTCAAAGCCATGTGGCACTTGGGGACAGGGGTCAGTAGTGGCCTTGGCAATGCTGGAGGAACAGTTGGACTCTGTGGTCTCAGAGGGCTTTTCCAGCCTTTCTGGCTCCATGAAAGCTGAGTGTGCTTCTCATCTCTGCTCCCCAGGCAGCAGCCACAGGACCTCCTGCCCTGGGGTGGCTCTGGTGTCACAGCACCAGAAATCTGCTCCCCTTGTCACCAGGGGCTCGGGGCTGGGCAGGGACAGCAGCCAGGCAGGGTCATGGCAGTGCACAGAGAGCATTCACTGCCAGACCCTTCAAACAAATCGCAGTAAATCCATGCCCCCAGCATTGATCTGAGCTCTGAGGGGCAGATCCAGCCCCAGGGACAGGATTTGGGTTCAGCTGCAGGACCTGGAGCATGGAGAGCCCAGCCCTGGGTGAGGAGCTGGTGCTGCTCCACTCCACTCCCGTGTGGCACCAGGCACTCCTAACCTACTTTCTCAGGGCCATTCAGTGTTTCGTAGCCTTTAGGCTTTTTTCTCCCATTCATCTGCTTCCTAAAATAATCCTGGTTACTCAGCATCTCTTCCTGTGAGACTCCCCAGGCCCTCAATCATGTTCTTCACCTTCTCTGAACCACGGGAGTCTCCCTCACACTCAGCACCCTGGTCCTTCCCAGGCTGTTCCAGGTGAGCCCATGGCTCCCAGGACATTATTCCCATGTTATTCCTTGCCTATGACAACATCCTGTTTTTTCTGAGCTGCCTCATGTCTTTGTGCCAAGATCTCTCCGGAGCTGTCTGAAATCATCCTCGGTTGCTTTTTCTGAGTCAGTGCCATTAATGTAAAGCTGTCACAGAGCTCCCCAATTTGCATTTTTTGCCTTTATCTCCTCTGAACTTTGTCACTCTGCTGCCTCCTGACTGAGGATATTTAAGTTCTCCCGTTTTCTCCTGATTTCACCCTGGAAAATCCTATTTATGTTCATCCTCGTCGTCATGTCTTACCCTTGTCTCCCCTTCTCAGTTGATTAATAAATATCTCTCTGACTGTGATACATCGATGACTCTGGCTTTGCCTCAGTGAGAAACAATTTCTACTTTGTGTCCTACTTATGCACTTCCAACAAAACTTTGCATCCTGCCTGGTGAGTGTTTAGTGCTGAGGGGCATCCAGCAGCCTGGGTGAGGTGGAGCTGCTGGAGCTCTCCCAGCCTGGGAGAGCTGGGGGTGCTCACCTGGAGAGGAGAAGCTGCAGGGAGAGCTCAGAGCCCCTGCCAGGGCCTAAAGGAGAGCTGCAGAGGGACTGGGGACAAGGGGTGGAGGGACAGAACCCAGAGCAAGGATGGCCCAAAGCCTCAGGTCTGGACTGTGCCAGCCCCTGGTGCAGCCTGGCTCTGCAGGGCAGGGATTCTCCATGGGACCAGAGGTGCCAAAGGCTCATGGATGATGTGGGGACAGCCTGGGGCTGGGATTGGGATGTGGGGTTGGGCTCCACTTGGACAGGGCTTGAACGTGGCTGGGGGAAGCATCTGGCCTTGGTTTGAGTGAAGCCCTGGAGTTTCCTAGGGTGCCACAGCTCTGCTGGATAACTGGGAATGTTGCTGCTCTGTCTGTGTAAGTGGGATTATAGGGACCATGTTCCCTTTTCACTGGTCCAAGGTCTGAGGAGAAAACCTGTTTAGGATCTGTGTGGGTTTGGGGTATTTTTGTGTGAGTTTGGGATATTTGTGAGTTTAGGGTGTTGTGTGACTTTGGGGTATTTTTGTACTAGTTTGGGGTACTGTTGTGTAAGCTTGGGGCGTTTTTGTGTGAGTTTGGCACTTGGCACTGCACAGTTTCTTTTCCTGTGTTCCTGCAGGGTTCAGTGAGACTGACAAGGTGTTTCTCTGCAGGTGAATCGCTTTAACAAGGTGGAGGACAGGGCCATTTTCATCACTGACAGACACCTGTACAAGATGGACCCCATGAAGCAGTACAAGGTGATGAAGACCATCCCCCTCTATAATGTGAGTACAGCACTGGGGATCCTCATCTGGGGCTCTTTCAGGGCAGTGTCTTTACTCTGTAGTTCCATTTTCATGTCCATAAAATGGAAAAAGTCCTTGGGTTGCAGTTTCTAATATATTTAATGTCTTTATAACTGTTACAGTGCAGTTATTGCAACACCAAAGCATCAGGGTGGGAGTGCTGGGGTGTCCTGGGCAGGGCCACGAGTTGGGCTGGATGATCCTGGTGGGTCCCTTCCAACTCAGGATATTCCATGGTTCTGTGATTCTATGATCATATTAGCATTTAATTTTGGTGCATAAAATAAAAGTTAAACCCCAAACTGCCTCTTACACTTCTGTGCTCCCTTCCTGTTTCAGTTTTCTTTGCTGTGTGCAGGATCCTGGCCCTGGAAGGTGTTGGCATTTCACAGCAGCTTATGGCACTATTCCCATGTCTCTGAGGGTTTGTTTGATCCTTCAGGTCGTGCTTGAATTTATTTATTTTTATTTTCTTATATTTGTTCATGTTGAATGTAAATCTTACCAAAGCTAAACTCGGAATTACAGCATGGTCAGGCCTTGGGGGTAGCAGGATGGAGCTGCCAGGCTGTGGATTATCAGGGATGGCAGGGGGTGGGCAGCACCTCAGCTTTGCTCCCCAGCATCCTGGAGCAGGGATTCAGCTCCTGCTCATCTCCCTCAGCCCGAGGTGACAGTGCTCTGGTTATCTCCAGCCTCCAGAGCCTGCCTGGCTGCAGGGAAATGCCCTGCACGGATTTATTGGGGTGTTTGCATTTGGAGAAATGACAAACCTGGCATTTCTGTATTGCTGGGAGGGCAGGGATGGGATTAGGGTGAGGGTGAAATCTCATCTGCAGATGTGCAGGGGATGATTAGCTCTGGCTGCATCCATAATGTTGGGTTCAGAGTCTCCTCCTGCCCTCCTTGCTGGGCATCAGCCCCAGCTGGGCACCCAGCACAGTGTATCCATGGAGTAGCTGCTCCCAGTAGGAATCCTGGCTGCAGCAGGCAGTGTCTCCATGGCAGTGCCTCTTGTTTTGAAAGGAAGCTGCCCTGAGCAGCTGCAGGAGCTTTTCCAGGCTGCTGTTCTGTCCCAGCACCCGTGTCTCCATGCTCAGAGGAGCTGGCAGCACATCCTGCTGTGTGCCCAGGGGCTGTGTGCCCATGCAAAGCAGGGTGCAAACACCTCCAGCCTGGTGAAAATTGGGGTGCAAACACCNGGGTGCAAACACCTCCAGCCTGGTGAAAATTGGGGTGCAAACAGCTCCAGCCTGTGCAAAGCAGGGTGCAAACATCCTCAGCCTGGTGAAAATTGGGGTGCAAACATCCTCAGCCTCCCAGCAGAGCTCAGACACTCACACACTCACAGCCTTTTAGCAGAGGAGTTTTGCACACCTGATTTTTCAGGTGTTCCCAGACAGGTGTTTTTTGGTGACGTGGACAAGGTGGGATTTTGCCCACCCGGATTTCTCACTGTTGGTTTCTCCTTTACCTTAACCACAGTGTCCAGGTCACTGAAATTCACTGACTGCAGGACTAATGAGGGATAAATGTGTGTTTATCACAGGTTTAGAACAATGTTTTACCCGTGTGCCTGATGGGTGTAAAGGTGCACATTGCACATTTACAGCAGCACAGGATCACATCAGTTGCTGGTCAAACAAATCTTTCCTTCTGAAATCCTTAATGCCTTAAAAATTAGAGGTGAGCAAGTCAGGTACAATTTCACATTACTGACAGAGTATCTCTTATTAAGAAATGTCAGTAATTGTTGCTTTTTCACCAATAAAAGGTGTATCTAAAATAGAATATCCATTCCTGCAGGGAGCCCTAGGGCAGGCTCTGTGCTGGTGCTGTGTTGGCTGTTTTGGCTGTATTTTGGCTCAATGTTTATTGTATTTTTGGCTGTATTTTGGCTCAGTGTTGGTTGTATTTTGGCTCTGTGTTGGCTCTGTGTTGGCTCTGTGTTGGTCTTGTGGCTGCTTTGCAGTTCCTCAGGACAAGAGCAGTTAATGGTCTGTGCAGGTAGGCCTCTTGCTCTGAGAATTCTCACATTTTTGCAGTTATAAATCAGTTTTATTGGTAGATGTGCAGTTATTCCCTTCAATAACCTACCACAGGGATTCTTGGCCAGGCAGTTCCTTTGACCTGAGCAGGAATCCTTGAGAGTCCAGGGGTCCTGGACTGCTTTGCACAGGAGGGGTGGGTCCAGGAGATCCTCTGCTGACCCATACAGCTTGTCAAAGTAACATTCCAGGATGGAAATTTGATTAAAACAAGCTTTGCTGCATTCTGTGGTGTAAAATTCCAGCTCTGTTGGCCACAGCCTGTCCCTGTACCTGCTCCTCCTGCCCTGTGTCCTGGGGAGGAGGCCCAGCCCTGCTGGGCTGCTCTGGGCACTGATGTTGCTGATGGATCCAGAGCCCTCTGAGCTGCAGGAAGGGGACAGGAAGAGAGTTTGATTTATACACAGGACATAAAATATTTCATGGAATAATGGAATTGAATTTGGATTAGAAGGGATCTTAAAGCCCACCCAGTGCCACCCCTGCCATGGGCAGTGACACCTTCCACTATCCCAGGTTGCTCCAAGCCCTGTCCAGCCTGGCCTGGGACACTGCCAGGGATGCAGGGGCAGCCACTGCTGCTCTGAACAACCTGGGCCAGGGCCTCCCCACCCTCACAGGGAAGAATTTTTTCCTAATATCCAATCTAAATCTACACTGTTCCAGTTTGAAGCCACTCCATTTGTAGTTCTCTTACCAGGATTTCTCAGATTTAAGTCTGGCAAACAGTCAATCCTATCGAGCACTTGTGTGTTCCTTGTTGTAGTTATGTTTTCTATTTGTTACTTAATGTTTATATTTGTGTTTTCTTCCCACTCCTGATCTGCCTTGCACACTCCTCCCATTTTTCTGTGCCTGATCCCTCCTTTCATGGAAGCCCTTCCACCATGTGGGAGAGGCAGTGGAAGGAGCTGATCAGTGATACAGAAATTCTGTCCTTTTTGGGAAAAGAGCAATTGTTTGCTCTTTTGCAATTGTTTGATCTGAAGGTTTTTTGGGGAGCAAATGGACAATAATGACACCAGTAATGATGTGTATCCATGGGGCAGCCCTGTCCTACTTCTGGGTGAGTTCTCTGGGAAGAGGGATCGTCCTTCCCGTGCACAGAGGGGAACCAGGCTGGAATCCTCTGCCTGCTCCTGTGCTGCTCCTGTCAGCTCTCAGAAGTGCCCTGTCAACACAGCAGCATCCTCAGGGGTGGTGTTTCCATGGAGATCTCACTGGAGACAGTCAGCTGATGGCTGCTGCAGACACAAACTTGTTTTCAGCCGAGGAAATCACTCCCCATCTCCCCCAGCCAGGTCTGCCTGGCCGTGGTTGGAGTTCCTGCTGTCCCTGCACCGTGCCAGGCTCTGCACTGGGACAGGGGGAAGGGCTGGGAACTAAACCAGCTTTGATTTGGCTTAGATGGAAGGAAGGAAGGAAGGAGTTTTTTACAGTGGGTGGGGGGGCCCTGGCACAGCATGCCCAGAGCAGCTGTGGCTGCCCCTGCATCCCTGGCAGTGTCCCAGGCCAGGCTGGGACAGCCCTTGGAGCAACCTGGGATAGTGGAAGGTGTCACTGCCCATGGCAGGGGTGGCACTGGGTGATCCTTAAGGTCCCTTCCACCCAAACCATCCCATGGCTCTGGGTGAGGAATTTGTCATTCTCTGCACAACCTGACAAACAACAGCTTCCCTGTCAGCCCTGCAGGTTTCTCCATGTGGAGATGCTGCTTTGGGGGATTCTCTGGGTGGATTTTTATCTGCCAGCACTCTGGCATTGCCTCAGAGTACCAATACACAGTGACATTTTTGTTCTTACCTGAATTCAAACCGAACAGGTAATGGCTGAGGGGAATTAAAAGGCACCCAAGCAGCAGAAAGGCTCTTGCAGCCACGTCTCCCCTGCAGTGCTGAACATAATAAAGGATGTTCTGCAGAAGCTGAGGATTTTCTCCTGCTCTTCAAGCAGGGCCAACATTAGTGTTGGTAAATACTGAGATAAGCACCTTCTCTGAAATGATTTCTTTTGTGTTGTATTTATTCACTCACAGAGTCTTGTGGGGAGGGGTGAAATGGGAAGATTTTGAAGGGCTCTTGGCCTCCTAACAGGGTTCTGTTGAATAATTAATGTTTAAATTGCCTTTTCAAATCCAACACTGCGACTTGTTCATCTTTCACACTCGCTGCACATTTAAAACCTTGATGGCAGCAGTCCCTGTGGTGCTATTGTGCTCACAGGAGGGTATTTAACCATGCAAATTAATTTTAAGGGACACTATAAAGCCAGGCAGCTGTTAATGCCTGTGCATGAGGTGGAACTTGTTTGGAAAGCATTTCATAACCCCAAAATAGCCTGAACAGGGAATAAACTCCACTGTGCTGGTGACATTGGTAGCAGGAGGGTCCTGCCTGGGGTTCCAGGGTCAGCAGCTGCTGCCCTTCAGTTCCTGGGGTAACAAACCAACAAAATCCCAGGGCCTGGACCTTGTATGGAGTCTCATCCCAAAAATAGGGCACAGACACACTGCTGTGGGCTGGGCTGGGCTTTTCTGGGATGTGTGAGGCATCCAGAGCTGCTGAGCAGCTTCCTTGGAAATAATACACTGTGGCTGCTGAGGCAAACCAGGGAGCAGCCTGAGCCCCCAGGATCCGTGACAGGAGTCAGGAATCTCCAGCTGGATTCCTGCTCACAGCTTCTGGGGACACAGGAGCCTTTCCCCTAAACAAGGCAATCATGAGACTTTAATTTCAACAAAATGGTTTATGGGTGCTTCTCACCTGTATGGCAATGGGGCTTCCCTCTGCAGATCCCTGGATGGCTCAAAGGAGCCTTTTCATTGACAGGGAAAGTCCTCTGTGTTCTCTCTGTACTCCTTTCTTCCTTTCTCCTTTCTTGCTTTATTTTATTTTATTTTATTTTATTTTATTTTATTTTATTTTATTTTATTTTATTTTATTTTATTTTATTTTATTTTTTGTTTTATTTTGTTTTATTTTATTTTTTCATTACATTCTATTTACTTGATTTTATTCTATGTATTTGTCCCATGTATTATATTCTTTGTATTGTATCCCATTTATTATAGTCTATTTATTTTATTCTGTTTTCCTTTCTCTGCTTTGCTGTACTTGCCTTTTGAGGCCTTTTTTACCCTCCTTGCACTTTGTTTCCCCAGCACAGATCTTTTCTTTGCATTCTCTAATGTTCATCTGTGCTCCCAGATTGCCCTTCCTAAAAATTCTGTTTTTCCTTTGTGAGATGATGACAAAGCTTTTGATGAGCCAAGTGCAGTTACTTAACAGACAAAAAGAAAATGCCAGAAAATAAGAAACTCAAACCAAACCCTTGCACCTGTTTATTTTGTCAGAACAGTCAGACCTTAATCCATGCCTAAACAGGGGAATTATTGTGGCTTTGCAGGGTTTGCAACTCACATTCTTCCTAAATTCTTGTGTTACCTACAAATCACAGGGGCACAGAGTTGTTCAGGTTGAAAAAGACCTTTAAAATCATCAAGTGTAGCATCAGCACCACCAAACCACATCCTCCAGTGCCACATCCACACCTTTTTTGGAAAGCTCCAGGGATGGAGACTCCACCCCTGCCCTGGGCAGCTGTGCCAGGGCTGGAACAACCCTTCCATGAAGAAATTCTCCCAATATCCCTCCCCTGGCACAGCCTGAGGCTGTCAGATACCTTTGGTTTCCCAGTGTGTGGGGGTTTGAAGACGCTGCTGGGCAGACTCCTGATGAATGTGGGATTCAGTGGTGACATCCAGGGGAGATTTTGGGAAGAGCTTTTACCTGGGGCTCTTGGGAGAGCAGCTGGTGCCATCCTTGGCAGGTACCCCATGGCCCTGGGGAGGGAGAGAGGCACAGCAGTGACACAGGAGCTGCTGGGAGCCATCCCAGGCTGGGTGGGGGACACTCCCAGGCTGGGGGTGACACTCTCAGGCTGGGTGGGGGACACTCTCAGGCTGGGGGTGACACTCTCAGGCTGGGTGGGGGACACTCTCAGGCTGGGGGTGACACTCCCTCACACCTCCCAGGCTGCTGAATTCCACACAGCCGCTGTTGTTTCACCTCGCTCAGCTGCTGGGGGAGCACCCACCCAGTGCCACCCCTCAGCTCCGAGGTTGGGAGTGTCCTGGAGAGGAGAGAACCAGCCTGGCAGTGGCAAAGGGACAGGGAATCATGGAATCATGGAATGGCTTGGGTTGGAAGCACCTTAAAGCCCATCCAGTGCCACCCCTGCCATGGCAGGGACACCTTCCACTGTCCCAGGGTGCACCAAGCCTGGTCCAGCATGGCCTGGGATGCTTCCAGGGATGGGGCATCAACATTTTTATATCAGCACACCCAATGTTGTTTTCCCTGTCTCTCCACAGCTGGTGGGGCTGAGTGTCTCCAATGGGAAGGACCAGCTCGTGGTGTTTCACACCAAGGACAACAAGGATCTCATTGTTTGTCTCTTCAGTAACGACCCCTCCAACGACAGCAGGATCGGGGAGCTCGTGGGAGTCCTGGCCAGTCACTTCAAGAGGTCAGTGCAGGAGCTGGGGCTGCTGGCCACCCATCCCAAGGTGCCAGACCATCCCTGGGGTCACTGTGGTGCTGGGCTCCAGCTGGAGCTGTGCTACCTCACTGCAGTCCTGGGGTACCACAGTGACCTTTCTTCCTGGCTTTTACCTACAACACTGCATTGCCTCTTCTGCCTTCCCTGTATGTGTGTGACAGCCACAGGTGTTTGGGGACAAATATCACTGAAGGTGCACTCAGAGTGTGTCACTATGGCTCCCGAGGGCTTCCTACAGCCAAAACTCTTCATATTTAGAATTAACATGGAGGTTTTCTGTGCTCAGATTGCCCCCCTGCCCCAGCACCAGCAGGTGATTTATTGCTTGAGCTGTGCAATGTCATCTGAAGTCTGGCTGTCTTGTCAATAAATCCCTGAGCCAAAGCTGGTGATCAGGTACAGGGATATCTGGGATTGAGCTCCTGGAGCAGCAAAAGTCACCTGGATCCCAGGAGTGAATTCCAGGCTGCCCACAGCAGCACCAGGCAGTGGCTACACTGCAGCCACAGAAAGGAACTCCACGGAGAAGCAGGGTGTGCAGTGAGCAGATCTTTGGGTTATTCCCTGGCTCCTCCAGAGGAGATTCCCCAGAGGAATGATGCTGCTCAGCACGTGCAACCCTGGCTTTGCTGTTCACAAGCTCCACAGAACTGATCAAGTGGAGTCTTTGTAGGTAAAGCTTCATACAGAGCTGCCAGAGGCAGGAAAATGAGAGGGAATTTTGGCCACTTTAGGTCCCTGGGTATTTTTCCATGAATTCAAGATTGTGCTGGTCCAGCCCCTTCTCACCACCAGGGTGTGAAGTTCAGGACTGGCCATGCTTCTGGAGGCAGGGGCTGAGTCCATTGGAAATGAATTCTCAGCATTGGTATAACTGGCCTGGGGGAATTCAGTGCTGCAAAGCAACAGAAAACATTCTCTGCTTTTGCTTTTACCTAAATACCATTTAATGTCAAAGGCAGCTGCTCTTGCAGGCTCAGGAGAGTCTGTGAAACAATGCACTTTATTTGGGAATCCTGGAAGTCCCTGGAGTTCCTCCACCAGCATCACCTTCAGGTTGCTGATGCTCCTCGGGGCCTTGCCAGGTCTCTGATGTGGGGACAGGCTGTGACACTGTTGGTGACACTCCAGCTCCCGGGTTCAGTGTCCAATTACCCAAAATCGCTTTTCCTTTTGCTCACATGGGTCCCCCAAGCACCAGCCCTTGTGTCACCTCAGGCAGAGGTGCTTCATTTGAACAAAGGATGTTGTGACCATCAGCCTGAAACATTGCACCATTCTTCTGAAGGTGGAAACTGCTGATTTCCAGTTTCTTACACTGATTTTAACAATGACATTTCTATCTTTAAAAAGAATTAGGTTTAATCTAATCACTGTCTGTAGGAGAATGGCAGTTAAATACATTTATGTGCTGATCAGCTCCACTTAACACAATATTAGCATTATTTTAGTGCTTCAAATGACAAATCTCAGCTGGGTAAATGGGAGAGCTGGTGTAGAAGCCCATTTTTCTCCAACATCCAATGCAAGTTCCTGGATGAAGGGCAATGCACAGGACAACTTGCATTTAGTTCCTCAAATATATAAATGTGGTTTTCCTCTTTAAAGCTATATCTTTAAATCAAAACATTCAGGAACATATTCATGTTTTCCATCACTTTCCATTTTCCTAGAGTCAAAAAACTCTTGTCAGTGAATGGGATTAGCTGACCCTTGCTGGAGAGGCACTGGGGAATTCCTCATTAGCAGGGAGTAGCTGCGGGTCGTGTGCCTCTGGCAGGGGTCGGGTTTCTCTGTCCTGCCTGAGGAGGTGCTCGCTGTGAGCTAAGACCAGAGCCAGCAGGAAAACCTCGAGCATAAAAGTTGAATTGCTTGGAAGATCCCACCCATGGCGGGGTTTAAGAGCTCTGCTCCACCCGAACTGTGGGAGCAGCTCCCGTGGGTGCCGGGGCTCTCTCTGAACATTAAAAGCAATTTCCAGCCATCTCAGAACCCGTCCTGAATCCCTGCTGGGAGGTTTTAGCAGGGCTGAGGTGTTACAGGCACCTGTGTTTGTGTGGGGGGTGGTAGGTGATGATCCTTTACCTGTTCGTGTAATAAAATCATGTGAGTTCAGTGCCGTTCTCAAAGAGGAGGAGGCTGCTGGTGTCACCTGAGCTGAGGACACCCAAACCCTCTCACTCTTAGATGCTTTCTATCAGATTTTTTTACTCCAAACTCTCTAAACTGGGAACTTCGATGCTGACACATCTATTTGGGAAATTTGGACATTTTCAGCAAGAAATAGCTCGGACATTTTTGAACAATTACAGAGGTGACATCTCTCAAGGCTGCATTCTGCAGCTGCTGTTGGGCATAAAGGCTTCACATTTGGGAATGTTTTGCCTGAGTTCACGTTTCTTTGCATCACCCATGAAAGCTTCATGAAGCTGTGTCTTTTGAAAGTTATTCCTGGTAGGAATTGTCTTACTTTGAGATTGTGGTTAACAAATAAGTGTTTATACAGGGAAAAGCTAACATGAGGCCTCTGTGAGCTGTAACATTTTTCATGGAGTTAACAGGAGTTCAAGTCACACTTCTACTGAATCAGCTGGATTTGGGGTTTTTTTACAAAGCAGCTGAATTCCCAATAGAGAAGATGGGAAGCTGGATGAGGTGTTGATGCAGTGGCTGCAGTAAGTCCATGCAAAGCAGTGTGCAGTGTCCTTGAGCCTGAGCTCCCCTGGGAGTTCTCTGGCTGTCTCCACCTCAGGGATGGGATCTCCTGCCAGAGCCCAGGAGAGCTGGGATGCCCTGAGTGCCTGGAAGAGCTGGGAAGGTCCAGTGGTCCCTTGCAGGAGCAGGTGTGTGAAGTCTGGATCGTGTTTCTGCCCTTGGTACCCAGCAAGAGCAAAGGTGCTGTGCAGTAACTCAGAGCTCAGGGCCCTGCTCCTTGGTTTGCCAAAGCAGGGAGCAGCTCTGGGAGCTCTGGGAGCCTCCCTGCCAGTGCTGGGGCTTGGGAGAAAGGGACCTGGGGAGCTCTTGGAGGAGAGGGGATGGCTGTAGAAGGGAAAGATTATATTTACCCTTCCCATTCTACATCCTCACAGCCCCTCAGGCTCTAGAACATGTCTGCAGTGATCAGTGCAGGGCACTGAGGACTTTCTGGGTGCCCTCACCTGAGATGACCCAACCTGGTCACCTCCCTGTGCTCTCACCTGTGCTGGGTGATCTGAGCCCTGGGGTGCTCAGGTGTCCCCAGGGAAGGTGCCCAAGGCCCATCCTGTTCCCAGGGGTCATTCCCTGCCCCGTGGGAGCAGGCAGGGTTTGTTCTGTCTGGCTACCCACGTGCTGGGATCAGGGAGTCACTGTCCTGTTCCCTGATCCCCACATTGTCTGCAGCCCTTGGGTTCCTTCCAGGATTCCTGGAGGGAAGGGGGAGTTAAAAGAGCAGTCAAAAGCAATCCCTGCAGAACTCCAGCAGAAAATCACTTGCCTGAGGATAATTTTATATTTTCCATTGTGCCTTGGGACCTGTCAGCCAATTTTAATCATTAGTGTGTCCTGGATTCATCTTGTTTAGGGCTGGGGCCTTACCCTGGAGCGTTGGCTCTGGTATGATGGAGCAGGAATTCACACAGAGGGATCTCAGGCTGCCCCAGGGGCTGTGGCTCCCCCTTGCTCCACACAGGGCTCCTGGTGATCCTCAGGAAGATCCCATTCCCCTCCTGTCCCTTCCCTCTGCCCTAAGTGCAGTCCTTGTGCTCCATCCCTGCATTTGTGGTAGCAATGTCTTTGGTTGGGGAAGTGGAGATGTTTGGCTGTTGGATTTATTGTCACTGTAACACAGGAATGTGGCTGTGCAGGTGGAATTGACACACAAATTACATCCTTAAATTGGGGAAAATCCATATATATACATAGATAGGCACATATCCCAGAATCCTGGGGTGGTTTAGGTGGAAGGGACCTCAAAGCCCACCCAGTGCCACCCCTGCCCTGGGCAGGGGCACCTTCCACTGTCCCAGCTTGCTCCAACCTGGCCTTGGGCACTTCCAGAGATCCAGGGGCATCCACAGCTGCTCTGGGTACCCTGTGCCAGTGCCCAGAATATCTGCAAGAACTGGGGGAAAAGATGTCTATATTTATGTAAAATGTAGGAAATTCTATGTACAGAGTTGTAAAGAACCTGGGGGAAATCTGTGCCCTCAGCCTTTCCAAACCAGGTGAAACAGGCCCAGGTTTGCTGGAAGGTGCCCAGGTTTCCCAGGCTCCCATTCCAAGCCAGACTCTCTGGGGGAGCACATCCCAGAACACCTCTGTGCCTCCCTCAGCACACGGGATACCAGTGGGATTAAAGCTTTTTCTGCAGGAGCCTGGGCATGGACAAGCGAGGTCACCTCGGTGGGGTCACCAGAGGCTGCTCATCCCTTGGGGTGGCTGTAGGGAAACCCAAAACTGAGCTGGGGTTGGAGGAGACACCTCAGGGCATTCAGAAAAGCCTTTTCTAGGAAAAAAAAAAGAGCACTTTGATTGCTTCCTTGGCATTCAAAGCTTCAGCCATGGAACTGGGACTGCTCCAGAGTGGGGATGAAACATTATTCCCCTCATACTCTGCCCTGCAGGAGTTACTGTCAGGTAAATCCTCCCCAGAACTGCAGTGATCTGGGGAGCTTGGATCTGTTTGGTACAAAGAGAAGAACTCACCGTTTTTTTTCTGATGTTTTGCTCTTTGCACCAGTGGTGGCAAACAAAGCTCCTGCAAACACAGTGAAGTGCAAGTGTTTAAATGCTGCCATTATCTCAGAGGTGATGTTTGAGGTGATGCTCTGGAGCTGAGGTGATTTTGTTATTTAGTCTGAATGCAGAGGAGTTTGTCACTGAGATGGAGACAAACACCCCATAAATAGCCATTTTCAGTCCACTGTTCAAGAGCAGGAGCATTTGGCACATTTTTGGTGCTGTTTGTAAACAAAGCCAGAGGAGAT